GTCGCCTCTCCGATCTGAATGCGTACATATAGCAATGGTGCGTCGATGTCATCGTACCGTTGCGTCTTGAACTCGCGGTCGATCTTCGCAATGTAGGCGTGAAGGTCGACAACCTCTACTCTGGCGTCCATCAACGGAGTCGGTACTGCAGTGTGCAAGTAATCCCGCAATTGTGCTTTGAGCACGTTGCAATGCGGTTTCGGCAATCGACCGGACCGGGGCAGGGGCATCCATTGGAAGTCCTCGAACGTCAACGGGTCGAGTTCTTCAAGACTTGACCATGACGTTGAATCCCCGTCGGTAGATGACGGCGAAGCTGCCGAATCGGTTGCCGATGGTGATGAAACCGGGCATGCGGTAGATTGTTGCACGTGGAGCGGTTGGTCCAGCGGTGGAATCAAGTGAACAGCATAATCCTCGTAAGTGTACCAAGGACTTGCGACATTCGCATCCTCCCCAGATTTGTAGGAGACCGCTAGCAAGGCGGCCGAATCTGGCGGAGTGGGGGGTGGAGTCGCCTCACCTCCCGCGAAACTCAGTTTTCCGAGTTGAGCCGAGATCGCACATCCTCCTTGGCCTGATCCTGGCAAAGAGAGGTCTTGTGCTTGGTGCTGTTGCACCAGTAGCAGCAGCTGTAACGACCGCGGTACTTGTACTCGGGCTCGGCCAAGCCGAACTTGACCCATGGTGGTGTTGGCTGTCCATTTCCGGCCTACGATGCTGGTTTCGCCTTCCCATTGTTCCGGGACTTGTTGTTGCTTCGCGGCTGGACAACAGCCACCTGATCTCCCTCACGTGATGCTGGAGTGGCTGCTGGGTCTTCTCCACTGTCCGACTGGACTGCAGCGAACTGCTGTTGTCGCGGACCTGTTCTTACCTTCTCCACATAGGTTGGTTGCCACGTTGACTTCTCGTGTGCAGCTGCCCTGTTGGTCTTGATGATCTCAATCGCCTTGTTGATGATCTCTGCGAAAGTGTTGTACTGCTCGCGATCACCAAGTGTGAGGCTGAGAGCGGCGCATGACCTGTTGTAGAACTCACGCCGCAGTTGCGAAAATGGCAAGTCCAAATCGGGCGTTGCCACGATCTTCTGCCAATCCGTGATCCAGTCACGTGTCGGTGTGCTCCCTTGAGCCATCGTGAAGATGTGGTTGATGGCGAGTGTCGGGGCGTCGTCGACGATGACCCGCTTCTTCCATTCCTTTGTCATATCTTCCCAGGAGACCTTCTTGTACAGGTATGAAACCTGGACGCCGTGGATGGTTGCCATGTGGCTGGGCCAGATCTGACATCCTCCCTTGGTGTTGATGAATAGAGCACTGATGAACAGATGGTCAGGGACCTTGTGAATCCCCAACTCCGTTGTAAATCCTTGCCACCAGATGACCGGGTCTTGATGTGTGTAGTCATCAAATTTCTCGATCCGGAACGTCGGCATCTTGTATGGCCTCGCCGAGCTGTTGTTGTGGCTGTGGTCAGTCTGCTGTTGCTGACTGATCTTGGTGTCCAGCAACTCGAACCTCTGGCTGATGGTGGCCGGCTCTGCGAAGGCACTTACGTCTCCTAGCATTGCCACTACGTGGTCAATGCGTTCCTCCAGTTGGCGGCTAAAGGATGCACTGCTGGAAGCCCCAACATCTGGTCCTGGTACAGCCTGTTCCAGGTCCAGTACACGAGCGTCCAGTGCCCGTGTGGCATCCTCGTGCTAAGTCTTATGGTTCCGCACGGCCCGCTGAAGGTTCGCCAACTCGGACTGTAGGTGGTTACAAGTATAAACCAACCTGGTCACGAGCTTGGCCATGAACTCCTTATGTTGTTCTTCCGGTGTTGCCTCGTCGCCGTTCGGTTCAAAGTGCCAGGACTTGAGTCTCTCGATGTTGTTGTCTTCATTCCGCTGCAGCAGATCCTGGGCTTCCTTGCGGCGAGCCTGGGCATCTGCGTCTGCTTCGGCTTCTAGCCGCAGCTTCTCTGCTGTTGCCGCTTCTTCAGCCTGTAGCTGGGCAGCCGCGGCTGCCAGCCGGCGTTGTTCCTCGGCCTCGATGAAAGCGAGCTGAGCCTGGAAACGCTTTTTGTAGTCGGCAATAGGCTCATTGGCCAGTTGGCCTGGCAGGCCCGTCATGTTGCTGACGTGGCACTGCTTACGTGGCACTGTGTGTGACATGGCACTGTGTCTGACGTGGCACTGTGTCTGACGTGGCACTGCTGACATGTCAGTGTAGCTGACGTGTCACTGTAGCTGACGTGCCACTGCTGACGTGGCACTGTGTTTGACGTGGCACTGTGTTTGACGTGGCACTGTGTCTGATGTG